GAGAGACCCGCGGGCCCATGGGAGGCACATTAACTCACCAGGCGCCAGGGGCCCTTCCTTTTCTTTCCTTAATTAGGTCATTGATCAGCAACATTGATCAGCACACGTGATGCCTGGTGGGCCGTTCTCTCAGGTGAAGATCGATGATGCTCACTTTCAGGCCATCCATCCCGGCCGACACTCATGGGGAGGGACGAAGCTGTGCAGGGGTGGCGGGGGCGGAGGGCCCAGGACAACTCGCCCTCACAGGGGGCCCAGGAGGCTGGAGCTCACCAGCCGACTCCACAGATAACAGGATGAGAACTCGCGCCGACGACGGAGGTTTGCAGAGCTGTTCCAACCTCCAGCTCGATGCCGGGCCTCCGTCTGAGAGGGAGCAGGGATGGGCCAGAGCAGGGACAGAGGGAGGCCTCCCAAGGCCCAGCCAAAGGCCACTTCCACGCATTCCAGGGACGCCTGATGGGCCTGCTAACCCTCCCCCACACCTGTCACAGCTAATTACTCCTGGGGGGAGGCCCTTTCCACTCCACTGCTGGGCTTATCACGGTCAAACCTGGAATCATGGATCGGCTGCCCCCTGCACGCCCCCTAGTGGGGATGGAGCCTGCAACACGGGCATGTGCCCTGAGGAGGAATTGAACCGTGACCTCCTGGTTCATAGGTTGGCACCCAACCATTGAGCCACGCTGGCCGGGCCAGAGCCAACTCCTTTAGGCCACCCTTTGGTGGGGGGAGGGCGTGCAACTCATCCACCCAGACGGGCAAGCTCCCGCCTCGTCGTCTGCTCGGTGCCCCCACCCTTGGCGCCCGTGGCGTCGGAAGGCACTGAGGGCGGGGGCCTCTGCCCACAGAGTCAATGTGCTTATGGAAACCGCTGGAAGGCCCACCCTTACTCATGGAATTTCCCTTTTGTTTTTGGTAAAATGGCCTTTTCTGTAATTAAGAAATATTTTATCGCTTTTATCTTATTACAGAAGTAATAGATGCCCAGAGAAGTCAACGCTCACAGGCAGGCGTCCAAGTGCCCACAACCCACCTGATCCAAGACATAACCTTCAACATGAACCTTGAACACCTTGGGGCGCAACCCCCAAATTTTTGTGGGTATGTGTGTGTACGTGCATGTGTGTCTGTGCCTGTGTGCATGTGTGTGCGCGTGCTTCTCTTCCTCCGTGTAATAAGTTGGGATTCAAACCCTATTTTATTTTTTCCTTTTCATTGAGTTCATTGGGGGGAACTGCTTAGAATTCCACAGGCCTCAGGTGCACATTCCACATCGTCCGCCCTGTGTTGTGTGTTCGCCACCCAGACCAGGTCTCCTGTCACCACTTTCAAACCTGATTTTGCAGGTGCTGCTACTTCACAGCATGCGAAAGGGATTCCTTTGGGGACGTGAACGATTCCCCCGGGAGGTGTAGTGTGCTGCCGGCTCAGGCAAGGTCTGGGAGTCGGCAAATATTTGTGGTTGGGTGGGTGTGAGTCTGACAACCTTGGAAAATGTCTATCTCTGTCTCTGCCTCCAGGTCCATCCATCCGTCTTGCCATCTGGTCATCCATCCATCCACTCATCCACCATCCATCCGTGACCTGTCCATCCATCCATCCACCTACCCCTCCATCATCCATCCTTGACCTGTCCATCCACTCATCCACCATCCATCCGTGACCCGTCCATCCATCCATCCACCCATTCATCATCCATCTGTCCTTTATTAGCCTATCATGGATCTCCTATTGGAGTTGAGACATGACACAGAGAGGTGGTCAGGGAGGCCTGGGCTGGCTGGCTGGAATGCCCTCCGTAGGGAGCCTGGAAAGTCACTGGGTCCACGTATTTATGGGGGTCCCCAAGGACCAGGTCAGGAGCTCGAGGGGTACCCCCCTCCCGCCGCACACACTGAAACCACTCTGCTATGTGCAGCTGCTTGCCCAGGCCTTCCTTCTTTCTGTGCCACCCCCTGGTGGTCAGCGCATGTCATAGTGAGTGGTCAAACTCCCTTGAACTCCCGAGGGAACAATTTGCATATTAGCCTTTTATTATATAGGATTGATTTCGGAGAGGAAGGGAGAGGGAGAGAGAGAAACGCCAATGATGAGAGAGAATCATGGGTTGGCTTCCTCCTGCACACCCCCTACTGGGGATCAAGCCCACGCCCTGGCTGGGAATCCATCCCCAGACCCTTCAGTCTGCAGGCCGAGGCTCTATCCACTGAGCCAAACCAGCTAGGGCTCAATAAAAACGTATTTAAAAAAAAAAAAGAAAAAGAAAAGGTGTTTTGGGTGGTGAGTTTTTGGTGGGTTCTTGTCCCTCTGGTGTGCAGGTGCCCCTTCCATCTCATGCAGGCTGCCCGCTCTGGCCTCGGAGTGCTGCACAGGGGACCCCAGGGAGCATGCATGTGCCCAGGTGCCCAGAACTCCGCTGGCTTCCCCCCTTCATCTCCAGGGACCAAGTGAGCAGGGGCGCTGGTCCACAGGGCTCCCGGCTCAGAGGGGTTTGCTCTGGCCTCCTGTGGACCCTCATTCCTCCTCGGCCTCTTTCAGATTTCCATACCTTCAGTTCGGGGGGTTTAGGCTCCACTATAGGGAACTTGCCCGGCTGGCCTCACCCACAACTTCCTTCCCGAAATCCTTGGTCCCCAGGAGGAGACAGAGGGCTCGTTCCTGTGCCTGCAAGGGGCTGCCTAGCTGTGCAGAATTCAGGCAGCCCAGGGCGGGCAGCCCCCCAGAGCACACCTGCTCCTCTCCGCGTGGGCGTGAGGGCCAGTGGTTTCCCGCCAGGAGCCTGGAGGATGGCTGTTGGCAGGGGGCTGGTTTGTGGAGTGGGAGATGGCTCCCCAGCTCTGGCCCCTGAAGGGATCTGGGTCAGCCACACCCCATCACGGACCCGTCCTCGGGCGCCCCCTGGCGGCGGGGGAGCGCCTTGCAGGCTCCATGCACACTGGGCCCGCATTGGAGTCGCCCTTAGCCAGCTGGCCGCCGTATTGAGCTGTCCTTAATACTGAGATGATCCTCTGGGCAGAGCCACTCTCCACCAGACAGAACGATTGAATTTACAGCTCGATGGGTGGCGATCGATAGAAATGAAATATGAGACCACTTGCTGTGTCCACCAGAAAGAGCAGACCTGGGCGCCTCCTCACGCAGCCCAGCCCGCCAGCTCCCACGGGGTCTCTGCCCAGGTGGGATGGTCCCAACGCACCTTTGTTTTCTCTTTGCCCCAAATAAGTACCGCATCCTTGTGGGGCGGGGCCGGTGATGGTGCGATATTGAGCCGCCCCAGCTGCTAAGGCGGGTGCCTCGCAGGCGCAGTTCCAGTACCTGCCAGCAGGGGGAGCGCTGCACACGCTGGAAACGCGGGACGCGGGGCCGGCCCAGTATTTGCAGTTGTTGCTCGTCCTCTTTCAGACCAGCCAGCTCATGCCTGGACTGGAAGCCACTGCCCCTTCGTGCACCGCTCACTGGCCAGAGCTGTTCCGCGCCGCCAGGAAGCGGAGTCCCAACCCTGAGCGGCCAGCGGAGACGGGGAGGTGCCGGTGAGCAACACCTGTGACCAGCTGGTTTAAGGACTGGCTGGGGCCCTAGCTGGTTTGGCTCCGTGGATAGAGCATCCGCCTGCGGACTGAAGACTGGCTGGGTTCTGAGCAAACCCAGGCGATCTGGCTGCTTAATGCAATCCCGTCCCATGAAGACCAACAGCCCTGAGGGGTGTCTATCTCTTTAAGGCATGTGTGACCTGCCCAAAAACATGCATTTCAGAGGCTAAAGCATTCCCATGCGCCGGGAAAGGGCATGGCGGCCCCTCTCCTCCCCACGTTCGCCCTCCACTGGCAGGGACTCCAGGAACAGTGAGTACAGCCGGGCATGTCACCTCCCAGGGGCACGTAGGTTTATTAGTAGAAAAAGAGGCTGGCCCAGCCAGTGTGGCTCAGTGGTTGAGTGTTGACCCAGGAACCAAGAGGTCACGGGTTTGATTCCCACTCGGGGTACATGCCGGGGTTGCAGGCTTGATCCCTAGTGGGGGGTGTGCAGAGGCAGCCGATCGATGTTTCTCTCTCACCAATGTTCCTATCTCTCTCTCCCTCTCCCTTCCTCTCTCAAATCAGTAAAAACATTAAAAAAAGAGAGATTGATAGCACACCTCTTCCCAGCGACTCCTCTCCTTGAAGACCCAGGCGGGGGGCTCCCGTCCCCCCGGCTCCCTGAGGTGCCCTGTCCCGAGGGGAGGCCGGGCAGGTGCTCCTGTCTGCCGTGTGGCCTCGCAGGGGCCCCGGCTGTCCTCCAGCCGAAGGGACCGCTGGCACCAGGGACCAGGAGACCATGGCATCAGGGCTGCCTGAGGCCCGAGGCTCACCTTCACACAGGCCAGTAGGAAGCTTACTTCAAAGTCGTTTTTTTATTCAACTGCAACTCAGCAATATACAATCCAGTGTAAACAAGTGTCTGACCTTGTTTCCCATGTTTATTTAAAAATAAATATTATTGACAGTGAATTTAATTATAAGATGTATCTTTTTTTAATCCAAATGTCTCAAAAAGAAATAATTTACTTTCATAAAAAAAAAAAAAAAAGCCCCCAACGGAAAATGTGAAATTAAAAAAACAACAACTCCTAAACACAATCATCTACGAAAAATACGTTCCTTTGTCAGGAAGGCTGTGACCCAACATTTTCACGCCGTCTCCTAAGATAACGGCTCGGCAGTTCGTGCAAAACGAAGAGCTGGAGGCGAAGTGGAGAAAAGAAAAGTTCGCAGAAGTAGAGACTCATGGGCCGGAGCCCACGGCACGGGCCCGCCTCCATCTCGTTTGGAAACTGGATGCGTGGTTTCGGGTTTCTACTGTGTAACTCCCCCCACATATGATTTGGTTTCCACGTGGACTTTGTCATGCTTCTCTCAGTCTCTCAGTGTCCATCCGGTGACCCGGTCCTCGCCCGGGTCTGGGTCTGGGAGGGCGGTGTGGCCCTGCTGAGGCGTGCAGGCATGGGGGCGGGGGGGGCGGGGGGGGGGGTCAGCTGTCAGTGCCCCACCAGCCGGCCCAGGAGCGTGTGCAGAGCCAACAGGAGCAGCGACAGGAGTGGGTCCCCGGAGGAGGTGGGGCCGGTGCCTGCAGGGGAGGGAAAACAGTTAACGCCTGATTCACAGGATCCCAGTGGCCTGAGAGCGGACAGGCCCACGGAACATCCCGGCCTGGGCCTCTGGGCCGACGGCCGGCTGAGGTCAGACACGGGGTGCTGGCTCCAGCGGGGGTGCTAGGTTGGGGGGCTGGAGTCCTAGTCATTGTTTGTTGATTAAAAAGACAGGGGCCTCCTTTGCTGCTCTGGCTGGCACCCAGCCCTGGGACGGACGAGGGGGGATGTGGTGCCGGGTGAGCGGCCGGCCGGCCGGGTGCCTGCGGAACGCACTCGGGCTCCGGTGCTCCCAAACAGGGGAGAGGCCCAGACGCAGCACCTGGGCCCGCGTTCCCAGGGGCCACACGACCAGCAGCTGCGGGTCTTCTCAGACGAGATCCCCCTCACTGCTCCCCGACCCCACCCTGGGCCCAGGGTGGCTGCCAGCCCGGCCCGGCCCCTGTGCACCATCCAGCCTGGCCCGGGGCCGCCCGAGTTTGCCATCACAGAGCCACTTCTGGCGCAGGATCAGGAGGCCGGGCTTTGGTCCCTCCTCTGTCCCTACGTCTCTGTGTGATGTGGGGCCGGTGCTCCTCGCCCTGACCTCCCTGCCGGCCACCCGCGCCTCCCACCCCCCACCCCGGCTCTGCCCACCAGACACTGCACCGGGCGGGCCAGGTGGCCCAGCCGCAGCCGAGTGGGGAAATGTCACCTGGCGAGGCGGCCGCTTCCCTTGCCGGCCTTTTAATTAAAGCCTCTTCGCGGATATTTATTCAGGGGAGCCGGCGAGGAATAATGGAGCCAACAGAATCGGAGAGGATTAGTTTCTGCCGTAAAAGTCGCGTGTGCCGGTGACGCGGGCCGAGGCTGGGAGCAAACGCCATTGGGCTTCGGAGGGAATAGCGATCTTGGAGAGGAAGCGTGCGGGGTGCGGGTCTCGTCCTGTGCGGTCCGGCCTGTGCCCACCGCAGTCCCAGGCAGCGGCCCTTGGGGCTGAAGACCAGCCCTGTTTACATCCAGCTCCCCCCCGCACCCCACCCCATGGCTTTGTGTCCCTCAAGGCGGGTGTACCCCAGACCCCTCTGGTTAGGCCAGCAGTGGGCTCCACGGAGGCTGCTCAGTGTGCGGGTCCCGGCCGCAGCCTTCCCGTCCGGTGCTCGGCAGAGCCGGGCCTGGCCACGCAAAGGTGGGAATGATGTCCGAGGCCCGAGGCCCGAGGCCGGGGAGGCACAGCTCCCTCTGGTCGGCTGACTTTGCCTCGTGCATTTCCGTCACTTTCGTCTTTAATGCGATGAGTGACTCGTCTGCCCACCTGGAGATGCAATTTGTGAAATGCTCGAAAAAATATGCATCTCCACTAACTTTGGCACGGGTAATCATGCCCCATGGCCTGGCCGCCTCCCCCGTGTCCAGCAGAGGGGGCCCTTGCTCCCGCCCTCGCCAGGGAACGACAGTGGGGCCCTCTGAAGGCGGAGGGGGGGCTGGGGCAGGTGGGGACCGGCTGTGTTCTCTGGTGCCACCCTCCCTCCTCCTTAGGCTCGGGGCCTGCAGGCAGACGTGGCTGCGTGGGATTCTGGGCCAAAGCAGTCTGTGCCATGCCGCCCCCCGGGACCTCTCTCCCCGAGACCCCTTCCTGGGAGATTCGGGCTCCTGCTGGTGGAAGGCGGGCTCAGTGGGGCGTGGAGGGGCAGAGGGTCCTGGCCTCCGGACTCTGCGTGCAGCCCGCTCAGGCTCCTGGCATCTCCCCTGGTGGTCTTCGTCCTGCCTTGTCCCTATGCATCCCAGGGGGCCAAGCCCTGACTGGAGCCAAGCCTGCAACCCCCACCTACGTGCCCCTGACCGGGAATCGAACCCATGGCCCTTTGGAGCAGGGTCTACGCTCTAACCACTGAGCAACGCCGGCCAGGGCTTGCAAATGTGTCTTAAAACCGAGCTGGCATCTCCACACTGCTCAGGGTAGGCCACAGCCAGGCCCTGCATCTGGCCGCACGGAGCAGAATGAATCGATGTCGCATTACAAGGGCACTCGACCTCGGTGACCCCGGCGATGCCTGGGGACCCCTTCACACCCCGAGCTGTGAAAAGGGGCACCTGGTGGGTTTAAGGAGCAGCTTCTCGCTGGGTTTGGCTCCCGGTGACATTTAGAAGGGCTGGCGCACCACCCGGCTCGCTCGTGGGGGCTGCCCCCCAGCTGGGGCCGGGTCCGGCTCCGGAGGGAAGCGTTCGGGGACGTGAGGCAGGAGGATCAGGCTGAGCTGCGGAGGCGGGAAACCGCGAGACATGCACGTGGCAAAGGCAAGTTCTGAATCATTCCCCATCAGGGTCCACGGTGCCGCTGCTTTGTCCCTAAGCTGGGGTCTCCCTACGGCCGAGAGAATGGCTGCGCGCGAGCCGCCTGGCCACTCCGTGGTGGACAAAGGCCGCTCACTCCATGGGGTTGACTTTCTCATCCCACGGGGTACAGGGTGGGGAGGGGAGGCGAGTCTCTCAGAAGCTTTCCCAGGACAGACCTAAGCAGAGAGGCCAAGCCCCCGAACTCACACACCACCCACAGGAAGCCTCCCCGGATTGCCTCACTGGACAGGGGCCATCCCTGCTTGGGACTCCCCCTGACACAGACGGCTCTGCCCCGGCGCTCCCCAGGTGCCCTGACGCTCCCGAGCTGGGTCCGTGGCCACCGTTGCTGGTTGCGCTCATGGCAGCCATGTGACCGGCTGGTGAGGTTGGCACGCACCCTATAACCACCCACGCTGGCCACCGGGGGGGGGGGGGGGGAGCCGGCATCTCCTGCCAACGGTGAGGCCCAGCTGTGTCCTCTATGAAACCCTTTCCTCGTTCAGAGGCTCAGAGAGCCTCGCCCTCTCTCCTCTGGGAGACTTCCGCCAGATTTATTTCTCCTTCACGGCGGTCCTCCGATCACATCCGAGCAGAGGGAAGAGCGGACGGTTGCTGTAAGGTGGTCGTTTCCGGGTGCTTGTGGGTCTGGGGAGGTGGGAAGCCCAGGGCACTGCGCCTGGCCCTGCCGTGCCATTGCCGCCAGCTCCGTCACCACCGAGGGCTCGGGTCAGAGTGAGCGCCTTCACCTCGTCCAGAGCCCCCTCTGCTCCTGGTGTACGGTTGCCATGGCGACACCCCAGGATGCTCCCAGCAGCCACAGCCTCTCCAGGCCGGCACCCCATGGCCTCGGCTGTCTTTCTCGGGTTGGTCATTGCAATGCAGAGGGCCAGCCCTCCGCGTGGGCACCAGGCAGTGTGCGCCCATGCAGCTGGCTCTCCGGGGGCCAGGCGCCTCTCCTGCAGCGCAGCCCCCAGGCTAGTGAGGGGGTCACACGCCGCAGATACAGTCCCCCGCAGAGGGAACCCTCCGGCCAACATACCCACTGCTCCCTGTATTCTTCTGCAGCCGATCCGGCCCCTCTGCGCTTCCCTGTCAAAGGGCTTGTCTGGAAGGGCCTCTGCTTTGTTTATTTTCTCTTTATCCCCTGCCCCTCCCCCGCGAAATGGTTCCACCCACAAAGTGCTCAGGAGAAATGGGTCAGCATTCAGATGAATGAGGAGCCGGATTTACCGACGCGGCTAAGAAGGGCCCGTCCCCTGAGCTGGCGCTGCTGCGCGGATCCAGCCCGTGTTGGACATCACAATCTCTTGACACAAATATCACTCTCTTGACAAATGAGATGTGAAACCGATGAGTTTTTGCACATAAACTTCCAGTGCAGATGTGTCTGGCGGCGTTGGGCAGAGGGACGCAGGAAGGGGGTCTGGCCAACAGTAAAGGCAGGAGAACAGCAAAGAGAGCCCGGGGGAGGCTGCCCAACGCATCACGGGGCCCACAAGTTACCAAATCATGAGGACGCATGCGCAAATGAACCGAACCGAAGGGGATGTGGGGGATTCCCCGCACGCACCCCCCGCCCCCAATCCCGGGACCTTTTTCCAGTGCAGGATGACAACCTGGGCTCAGCTCCACGCCCACCAGGCATCATCCCCGGGCTCTGCCGGCACCCCGTCCCCTCTCCTCCTACACCTCCCCCGGGCGCACACCTCACCCGGGGCGCACACCTCACCCGGGAGCACACCTCACCCGGGGCGCACACCTTCCCGGGAGCACACTTCACCCGGGGCGCACACCTCACCCGGGGCGCACACCTTCCCGGGCGCACACCTTCCCGGGGGGCACACCTTCCCGGGCGCACACCTTCCCGGGGGGCACACCTTCCCGGGGCGCACACCTTCCCGGGGGGCACACCTCACCCGGGGCGCACACCTCACCCGGGGCGCACACCTTCCCGGGGGGCACACCTTCCCGGGCGCACACTTACCGGAGCCATGCCTCTGGCGCAGAACCACCTGGCCGGGTGGCGAAGCTGACGAAGCAGTGGCTGCAGCGGCGACAGTGGTGGTGGCTGCGTGGGTCGCGGAAGCGGCGGCCTGGGGGATTCCGGGACCGGGGGATGCCAGAGGGCTCCCCGGAGGAGGCAGGCTCTTGTGGCTGCGGCCGGGCTGGGCTGTGGGGCGGCCCGCGGTGCCGGCGGCGCCCACGTGGTTGGCGCTGGAGGCGTGGCGCCGGGGCCCGCTGCTCTGGATGTGGGACACGGCCTCCGCGGCCTGCATGCGGGGCGGCGCGAAGCGGGACAGCACGCGCAGCAGGGCCCGGGCAGCGTGCTCCTGCGTGTCCTCGGCGCCGTAGTCCGCCACGCGGCACTCGTACACGCCCTCGTCCTGCCGCCGCACGCCTGACAGGCGCAGCCGGTGCGAGATGTCATTGCCCTGGACACGCACGGTCTGCGGGAGAGGGGCTGGGTCAGGGCAGGGAGGGGCGCCGGCCCACCCGCATGGGGCTCCCAGCTCTGACTGTGCCGGGTGGCCCTGCCCATGGCATTGTGTCCGGTTCCCCGTCATCGGCACAGAACCCGGGCTGGGCACTCGGCAGTTGGGCTCTGAGGCCCGGCCTTCCTCCGCCTCCACATCTCACACTAACATTTCTTTATTCTTTATTCTTAAAAAAATTTTTTTAATTGATTTCAGGAGGAAGCGAGAGGGAGAGATAAACATCAGTGATGAGAGGGAATCATGGATCAGCTGCCTCCTGCACGCCCCACACTGGGAATTGAGCACACAACCCCGGCATGTGCCCTGACCGGAATCAAACCCGGGACCCTTCAGTCCACAGGACAACGCTCTATCCACTGAGCCAAACCGGCTGGGGCGCCACTACCATTTCTTTATCTGGAATCTGGAGCCTGAGTGGTATCCCCTGCCCTCGGAGGACACATGTATACCTGCCGCATCCCCTGGCCCTACAGAGCTGCCCCTCCACCGTCCCAAGCAGGCAGGCGGGGCTGCGGCCTGGAGGGGGCATGGGGAAGCACGGGGTTTGCAGTCCTCCCTTGCACCCAGGGAGCCCTCACCTCTGAACGCGAGCGGGAGGAGGCCCTGCTAGTCTCCAGGCCTGAAACTTGCACATTCCCGCTGGGAAAGCTTGGCCGCATCTCCTCCCTGAGTCACACACCCCAGGACCCCGGCTCCTGCAAGCCTGGCAAGACGGCCCCTCCCCACCCCCATTCCCAACACCCTGCGCTGCGACCCAGGCGGGGGAGAGGGCTTCCCGTGGGGCGGGGGTGGGGTCCACCATGCAGAGCCGGGGTTCGGCCAAGGTTTGGAGCAGCGGTTCCCCCACCCGCCCCCGAGTTGCTGGGAGAAATGCCAGCAGAGGAGAGCAGGCCTCCGCGAAGGGCCTGAGCGCGCGCCATGGATGAAGGAGAGGTTTACAGGTGAGCGCACAGGGAGGAAGGAGACGCGAGCCTGGGACCCTCTGCATATAAAAGAGAAACCGATCCCGCTCCTGGCGACAGATGGCGCCCGGACACGATGCGGGGTTGCAAGGAAGTCCCGACCTCTCGCGCCGCTAAGCCTTTCTAACGGGGAGAAAGGTGCGGGGCGCGAGGCGGCCAGAAGGGGTCTCCCGCGGCCCGCGCTGGGCTCCACACTTACGCTGATTTTAGTCGCATCCTTATTTGTTACCTAAAATGCAAAGAACAAGAGAGGGAGACATTAGGCTCCTGGCCTCCAGGTTCGGGGTCTCAGATGCGCCTCCAGCCGGGGACCCTCCGCAGGTGGGCTGAGCGCAGGAGGCGGTGGGATTCCCAGCGGGGCTCCCGGAAGGACGCGGTGCCTGGCCCAGGAAGGGCCGCCCAGCACACCTGCCAGCCAGAGGGGAGGCTGGGATGCCACCAGGTGAGAAGGGAGCCCCGTCTCCACCCCGGAGAGCTCCCCGTCAGTCCGTGTTTTTCTAAACTTTGCCTAAAACTGGGTGGAAGGGCGGGCATATCTGGATAGGACCCAGCAGGAGGTGGGAACAGTGACTGGGTGGGACTCTGGGTAGAGGGGATGTGTGCGTGCGTGTGTCTGTGTGTGTGTGTGTGAGTGTGGGGCGCACTCCTGCGTGTGCTGGGAATACACAAGGGACTGTGGGTTAAGAGGCACAGGGCCGTGGGCGCCCTCCCTCTGATCCTGTGAGGGTTGGAGGTAGGGGGGGGCTTCCGTGGACACGGTGCTGTGCTGGCCGCTGGAACCCAGGCCCAGGGGAGCTGAGCTGTTTGGCCCAGTGCCCCGGGGACCGCAGAGTGTCTGAGGGCAAGGCGGGCTGGGAGGACCACGTGTCTTCCTTCACCAGCAGCACCCGCCAGACCTGGGCCCACAGGCGGCCAGCAAGAGCAAGCGCACTGGATGGGGGGGCTTTTTAGAGGCTGAGTGTGGCCTCCCGGGAGGTCTTGGGAGAAGGGACGAGTGACCAGGATTTGGGGGTAACTGTTGTTGAGGCTGCCGTGGGGATGGGAGATGGGTTGCCGCGGGCCGGGCAGCTGGTTACCTTGCTCCGGGCGCCGGGCGCGCTCAGCGCCAGCTCGTGCAGCAGCTCGCGGGGCGGCGCCCGCAGGTGCCACCACTGGATCTCCAGCGAGAACGCGGGGGCGCCGCTGGCCCGGAACGCGCAGGGCATCTCGATGTCGTCTCCCTCCCGCACGGTCACATCTTTGGGGACTTCGGTAAACGTCGCTGGGGGCGGGGAAGAGACGGGCGTGACCCAGTGCGGGGCGGGAGCCCGTGCTTCCCACCCCGCGGCTCCACGCGCGGTCCGGGCACCAGCAAAGTTCGCCCGAGCAGTTGCCGGGCCGCCGCAGAGACCGGCTCCCGCGCAGGCGGCTTCCTCCGGGTCGCGGGGGACCACGGGAGGCTTGCGCTTCTCTCCCGCGCCCACCGCACCACCCGGCTGGGCTGGGGCGCGCCGGGTCCGTCCGAACGCCTGGGGCGCCCTGGTGGCGACCCTTCACCGCTCTCCCTCTACCCCTCCGGGCCGGCTGCAGCCGGGATTCTGGGGACCCTGAAGCCTTCCCCTTCTCCTCCTGCTCCTCCTCCTCCTCCTCCTCCACGGCGACCCGAGCAGCTGGCCCTGGCGGCCCGGCAATGACTCCCCACTCTGAACCCCCAGGCAGCGAAGTTCCCGCGCTCACCGTCGGCCGCGAGGAGCAGCAGGGCGTGCAGCAGCAGCGGCGGCAGGTGTCCGAGGGCGCCGAGCTGGCTCCGCTGTTCCATCTCCCGCGGGGGGCGCGGCGGCCCGGGCGCGGAGAGGCGGTGGCGGCGGCAGCGCGGGCTCGGATCCAGCTGGGCTCGGGCTAGGACCCCTCGGAGCCTGCCCTGGCCCCGCGGCGCCCCATCCTCCGCCGCCGCCGCCAGCGGCCGCCAATCAGTCCCGCTCCCTCGCCCGCTGGCCCGCGCGGCTCCGGCGGGGGGCGCTGCTCCGGGTGCGCAGCGCGCGAGGTCCCCCCCCCCCCCCCCGGAGGCTGCGGGCGATCGGCCCGTGCCTCACTCTATGCCCGCGTCCGCCGGACGGTGGGGAACCGCAGGTTAGTCTCTGCGCGGCGGGCCGGGCAGGGGTTGGGCCGCGCCGGGACCCATCCCCGGCCGAGGGAGCGCGCGCCTCGCCTCGGAGCGGCGAGTGGAATCCCGCCTCCCGGGCTCCGGTGGTCTGGCTCCGGCTGCCGCCTCCTCCGGCTCCCGCCGCCGCCCCCGCCGGTGCCTCCGCGGCTCCCTCCGCAGGACGAGTGCGCGCTCAGCCGCGGCGCGCAGACCTGGCGCCGGACCTAGTGCGGCGCGGGGAGCGCGGGTCCGGCGTGGTTGGACCCGGACCCGGAGCCGGAGCCGGAGAGAGGCAGGGAGAGGGGGAGGGAGGGCAGGGAGGAGGCGGTCAGTGGAGGGTGCTGAGCCGCCTCCTCCGCGGCATACCCCGCCCTCCCGCCCTTCCCAACCTCTCGCGCAGCCGGCCCCGCCCCGCCCCTGAGCGCCCCTCCCCGCCGCGGGGGTCGCCGGCTGCAACCGCGGTCTCCCGGGTTAGAGCTCAGCCCTGCCCGGCACCCGCTTCGGCTGGGGTCCTCCCGCCCGAACTCTCCCGGCTTCTGGCTGCTTCCCGATCCCCATCGCTCGGGGCGCCCGCTCACCCCTGCGCGCCGTGTCCGGCCCCCTTCTCCGCAGACCCCCGCCCCTAACTCCTTACCCGGGTTTGGGCAACGAGCCGCACCGCTCTTTGTCCCAGGCCCAGGCCGCGGAGGGTGGGTTGGCGCCCGCCCGGGGCCGCGGAGAGAAGCGGAGCGCCCTGCAGGTCCGGGCCGAGGCGGGTGGCGGCGGCGACGCCGGGAGTCTGCGGTGCGCGAGCGAGAAGTGAGCGCCGGGCGCCGGGCGAGCAGGTGCCCGCGGCGCGGAGAGCGCACGAGAGAGCCGGCGAGCGGAGGCCGTGAGTGACGGCAGAGGCGGCGGGGGTGGGGTGGGCGGGGAGCGCCCGCACGACTCAGGCCCACGGAGGTTTCCGGGCGGGCGGGCGGGGTTGGGGTTCCTGCGCCTCACCGGCAGGCCCCTCCGTCCTCACTAGTTCTTTGGCGGTCGCGCCCCCCACCCCCGTTTACTGTATATTAAGGGGGACCCGCGGCGGCGGCAAAGGAGCCAAAGGTCTTGTCGTCTACAGCCGCGTTTCGGAGCCCATGCCCCGCCCGCATCCCCGCCCCGCGGCCCTCTGCGGGAGCTCGGTCTGGTCCCCAAAGGGCGGAGGTGGCTGGGCTGGGCTCACAGGTCTGGGGGCGACTCCCACACCTCTGGTTCCTTTCCCCATGGGAGTCAGGCAGCGCATCCGGCATCTGGGCCCCTGATCCCTTGCCCCTAACCTCTCAGCTCTGGCCCAAGCTGGGGTGAGAACACCCCGTGGACTCGAGTCTGTTTGCCCTGCTCACTAGCCCTTCGGAGGCACCACGTGCGGGTCCCAAAGGGCCAGCCCGGGAAGGAAGTGGAAAGGGCAGATCCTGCCCACAGCCCACCTGGTCCAGGAGGCCTTGGCGCAGCCTCAGAGAAGCCGCAGGCCCTTTGAAGCTGTGTCCTAACCCCCACCCAGGGCCTGGACTGTGCCCTTTGCCCCCCGGGGGCTGGGTTTCAGTATCCTCACCTGCGGCCCAGGAGTCATCCCCGTGCCCACAGGCCACCTACTGAGCCCTGTCTGCTGGGGTCTCGCCCAGGACAGGGAGGATGTCCAGCGCCTCCCCTCTCCGCAGTTCCTCTCCGGGGCCCCAGAAGGTGGTGGCCAGCTGCTGTCTTTCCTTCCACCCCCCTGGGCCAGGAGCTTTCCTTAGCAATCCCACCACCGTGGGCCCGGGCTGGTTTGGCTCAGTGGATTGAGTGTGGGCCTGTGGACTGAAGGGTCACAGATTCGATGCCGGTCAAGGGCACATACCTTGATCCCCAGCTCGGGATGGGCTGGAGGCAACCAATCAATGTGTCTTTCTCACATCAATGCTTCTCTCTGTGTGTCTCTCCCCCTGCCTTCCACTCTCTAAAAATCAATGAAAAATATCCTTGGGTGCGGATTAACAATAATAACAAAAAAGAAAGAAAGAAACTGCTGGGATTGTGACTGTAAGACCCTGCTGGGCCCCATTGCCGTCCTCAGCCTGGGAAGTGGGGGGCAGACTTGCACTGTGCTCCCCGAATTAGGCCCTGGAGGAGTCCAGGGAAGCAGATTCATGCGGGGACTGGTTCTGAGCAGGATTCTGTGATCTTGGGTCCTGAGCTGGGGTGGATGGCCAGGGATAGGGGTGCACAGCGGGGAATTCCTGCTCCAGAGGGAGTCCTGCCTCGCTCACCTTTAAGGTCTGTGAATCCTCCAAGCCCAATTCACCCTGTGGGGTATGGTGTTTCTTGCCCCGGCCCTACCCACTGCCTGTGTCCCCTGGGGCTCCCACAACAGCGACCTGTTTAGGACAAAGCCGGTTTCTGGCCGACGGGCCTGTGGGAACATTCCAGGACTGTTGGGTCTCCCTCCCTAGTGTCCAGCAGAGGTAGTTCAGACAACCTTTGGGCTGCGAGGCTTCCTCCTCCCCCCCCTCCACTGCAGACTCTGAAATACTATAGGATCGCTGTGCACAGGGACCTGGAGGGGACCCCTGTGCATGATCACAGGTGGAAGTCTGCCTGACCCACCCATTCGCCGTGCCCACCCACAGCCCTCTCCCTCCTGCCGCTGGTACTCTGAGTTGTCATCGTGGTTGGGCTGTGAGTTTGGGTCTTCACCCCTTGGCAAGACCATTTTGCAGGTGAATTTACTGAACTCTCAAAGGCACGTCCACAAAGCGCCCCTTAACAAGCTGCCTGGCCTCTTGTGAGAACAGCCCCGCGGGGATGTTTTTCCGGGAACGCACTCTCAATGTATTTTTTGTGACGCTCAGGTCCTCTCGGAGTGTTGGTTTCGACATTCTTTTCTCGGCTGACCTTTCCTGTCCTCTCCCCGCCGCCTACGGCAACATTGATTCGGGGTAATGTGTTTTGAGTTTAAGATGCCGGCCATCCATAAACTTTTCTATCAGTAATCCTGGCACACTCTGTGTACCCGACAGCTTAAAGGGAAATACCAGATTTATGAGGGCTTTCATTTTGGGCCAGTTTAGTCATTCGCTCGCCCTCAGTGTCAGGGGATAAAGGCCCGAGTTGGCGCCGGGAAGACACCCCTCCTAGGGTTCACGTCAGGTCGGCTGCCCCAGCTCAGGGCCGGGGTGGCCGAGGCCCTGGATGTGCCCTGGATGGTGGGGATGGCATTGATGGCTGACCACCCGAGATGTGAGGGAGGCAAGGGGAAGAGCTCACAGCTCGGGGTCCTGCTGCCCTCCTGGCCCTGCCTTCCATCCCAGGAGGACAGTGGGCTGCTGCCTTAGAATCTCAGGAGACAAGAGAGGGCCTCTGTCTCAGGGCCATCAGGAGGCCGCCTCCCCGCGGGGGCACCCCCAGAACAGGCCGGGTGGCCGGCAGCCTGGGCCTGGCTGGCAGCAGTCAGGGACTCAGCTGTCAGGCCACAGGGTCTGCCTGTCATTGAAGTTCCGGGTCACCAGGCTGTGTCCCCCGAGCCTGGGGCTGTTTGCTTGCTGTGGGAGACGGGATTGATTGGGCCTGGAGACGTCTGCAGAGGGGAGAGATCCAGGCAGAGCTGCTCCACCTCGGACATTTACTCAGCCACGGCGTCCCGAGAACATGATCATCCGTGCATCCAGCACACGTCTGTGGGCATGACTCACCACGTGCCTGATGTGGGGACCCGCAGGCACCGCATTTCAGCCCAGAGGGCCCGGGACACACCTGCCCAGAGGAACAAAGACCACGCCTGATCATCGCAGGCAGTGAGGCTGACACGCAACATGCACACGTGCAGATGTGCACACAGACACGTGCACGCGCACACATTCGCACGCGACAGATGCGCACTCATAGATGCACGGACAGCACACATGCCCATGCACGCGCACACAGACACGCACGCGCGCACATAGACACACAGAGCACATGCACACAGATGCACATGCGCACACGCACACAAAGCGCGCATGCGCACAGACACAAACGCGCATGCGCGTACCCACAAGCCCCTGGGGCCAGGGGAAGACCTGGCAGAAGAAGCGCGCTTCAGGCACGAGGCCGAGGCCGAGGCCAGGGGTGAGTGAGGCGGCCTTCGGGAGGGCAGAAGGCGGCGGAGCGTCGTGAGTGACGGAGTCAGGGCGGCGAGGGCACGGGGTTTCTGTGCACAGAGTGGGCTCCACGCTGGTCGTGGGCCCGGAGCCCACGGGGGAAGCTAAGCAAACGCAGAGTGGCCCGGGCCTGGCCGGACCTCAGGGAGGTGGGTCCCAGCGGGGAGACTTCCCCAGGGCGGCCTGTGAGCTCAGCCCTGGGGACGCCGGCATCCGGGTGAGCCGAGCCTGCGCCCTGTGGGGGCCGGGGAGGCGGGACTTGCTGAGTTCAGGGGCAGGAAAGGCGGCCTCGGAGTGGAGGGGACCGGGAGGCGGTCCGGCCCTGATGGCAGCCGGGGTAGGGGCGGGAGCGGGACCTGGGGGCCGAGCGGGGCGGAGGGGGCGGCAGGGTTGCCACAGACCCTCCTGGGTTGGGCCCAGCTCCCAGGTGAGGCCTTTGCAGAATCCTCCCCTCCCGCCTTTCTCTCCTCCCCACCCGCTTGTCCGTGACTCTCAGCAGCACGACGGGCACGAGGAAGGGCTGAGGGTTCCAGGGCTGGCCCCACGGAGCCCGGGTTCCAGGGGCCGAGTGCCTCGCCCCGCCCTCCCTGGTTCCCGGACCTGCCTGAGGGCCTCCGGCTGCTGGGCTGGGTCGGGAAAGCCCCGAGCCTCAGTTTCTGCAACTGCAACGTGAGATTTTAATTCCTGCCCTGCTCCCCGCCTTTTTTCTCCCCACGTCCCATGGAGAGGCTCAGAAGACACTGGGTCAGGGTTGGCAAACGTAGCCGGTGTGCGGACGCCAGCCCCCAGGAGCCTGCAGGCCCTGCCTTGCCCCCCCCCCCCCACCTCCCCGTATGTGGCTCCTGGCAGCAAAGCTAAGGGGACCACGGTGGTGTCCAGGGCTCCGGTTCCCACCCTGGTCTTGCCTTGGCCTCTGGTAGCCTCGGTTTTCCCCTCTGTAAACAGGGTACCTGCTGTGCCCACAAAGAGGGTGAATGGGAGGCTTGCCTGTTTGTTTGTCTTTTAAATACGTTTTTATTGATTTTTAGAGATAGAAACACCAATGAGAGAGAAACAGCAACATTGATCGGCTGCCTCCTGTATGCCCCTTGCTGGGGATCGAGCCCACAACCCGGGCATGTGCCCTGACTGGGGATCGAACCGGTGACCTCCTGGTGCATAGGTCAGTGCTCAAGCCCTGAGCCACGCCGGCCGGGGGGAGGCCTGGATTTGAGATCACCTGTGGCCTCGCAGGGGCCACGCGCTAAAGCGTGAGCCTTCCGGCCTTGCTGTGTCGAGGACGCAGGCGGGGTCTTCAGGGTGGTGTCTGGCCGGCGTCCTTGGATCTGAGCGCTGGGGGGGGGGGGGGGACGGACGGTGTTATTGGCGGGAGGTGACCCGTGGCGCTGAGTGTGCCCTAATGGATTTTCTTACCGCCTCTGTGCGTGCTATTTATTTAGTCATTTGCCCGAGTAAATCTTACAGGCCCGCGGAGAGTTTATTTTTTAATTTTTAATATTCCCAGTACACTCAGGGGTTTATTTCCCACTAGATCTATTCGTTTAATTTAGTGGAGGACAGACTTTGTACTTAACCCAGAATTGCTTTGACATTATGGAGAATTAAGAGGCTGGAGCCAGACGGATCGGAGCGGATTGATCTGTTTGAGAGAAACCTCTGTCATTTCCCCGCCTGCTGTCTTCACCTTCATGGTGAGGATGGAGATTGGAATACGGGTTGGCTAAGCCCAGTCCGTGTGGCTCAGTGGGTGAGCGTCGACCTATGAACCATAAGGTCACGGGTTCGATTCCCGGTCAGGACACATGCCTGGGTTGCTGGCTCGATCCCCAGTAGGAGGCGTGCAGGAGGTAGCTAGCTGATCAGTGATTCTCATCATTGATGTTTCTCTCTCTCTCCCTCTCCCTTCCTCTCTGAAATTAATAAAATATATTTTTAAAAAAGAAAGAAAGAAAATGGGCTGTCTGCGAATGCCAGAGCGTGGCCGGAGTGTCAGGGTTCTCGCTCCCGTGTTCCCCAGGGACCCCGGAGAGGTCTCCCCTTGACGAGATGGCGTTGGAGGTCCCAGGGCAGGTGCTGTGGAGGCAGAGGTGTCTGTAAGCAGCCGGCCAGCCTCTGAAGTGTTGCCTCATGGGCCAGGGCACCAGGACGGGTGCAGAGCGCTGGGCCCTGGCGCTGGGAGTGTAGGCAGTGCCCGGTGGCCCACGCCTGGGACTCTTGGTGGATTTCTCCAGCCTCAGTGCCCTGTCAGAGGGCCCCACTTCCCCGGGGCCACAGCGGGTGCAGCATGGAGGGGACGGGACAGGCTCGGGCTCCGGCGTTAGCATCCTCTCTGGCTGCGGAGCCCCAAGTGCCTGGGAGGCCCCAGAGATCAGCGCGTCTCCCCCGATGGGCTCCCCTGGCATGGCCCTGCCTCTTGGAGCCAATGTCTGGTCCTGGGAGAGGCTGCCTGGCGTTGGCATTTCCGTGACCTTCACGCCTCACTTGCCCCTTTGGAGCTCCTCCTGCTGCTGGACTGGCAGCTGCCAGCGCGGCTTGGCTTGTGAAATGTCAGTGGTTTCATATCAACCCTGGGGTTTTATCCCCCCCCCCCCCCCCCCCGCTTTTCCAATGGGATTTGGTCCAATCAAGGCCGAGTGACGGCAGATTCCTGTTCCAGTCGAAGTTGACGGCAAGTCACTGTGCCCGGGGAGCCGGGGGCGACCATGGCTTTGCACACAGGTGATTACCTGGTCCCCCCACCCCGGGCCCTGGAGCCAGGCCCTGCCTCCCCCAGGACGGCAGTTCCAGGTGGGTGTGGGCGCTGACTGGGGCCCGCTGGCTGGGGGCTTAAGCCGGGCCGTCGCCAGCCACAAAGTGCCCTGGTTTTGTTTGCAAAATGTCTTTGATGCTTCAGACCTAAGGTAATTTTTCACAGGAATGTTTCAAAAATGGTTTCAAAATGTCGTTTTTCCTTTTCCAAAGAAAAGAAAGAAGCTCGTTGAATGGGAGTCTGTGCTGGGAAGAGGCCCCGAGGTTCGGAGAGCCCAGGCAGAAGGCACGCTGGGTCAGCCCCCGTCCTCTGTGCTTCGGCCCCTGCCCTCCCCAGAGAGCCACACCCGTCCTGCCCAGAGAGCCACACTCGTCCTCCCCAGAGAGCCACACCCGTCCTGCCGGTTCAGCCCAGGGCTCCGAGGGCGGAGGGGGGCATGAGGCTTTGTCTCGTTTCGATCTCGCTCGTTGGCTTTTAAGACGTGATGTGCAGGGACTCAGCCCGCTGGGCAAGCCTCCAGGGGCACCTGCTGTCGGGGGGCAGTGTGGGAGCTCCCTGGGGGGCCCTGGGAAGACTGGGTGAGGTAGGAGGGGCCTGGGGTGTAGCCGTGGCTTCCAGAGCCCACCCAGCCGGGTGTGGCTGGAGGGAGGCCAGGTGGCCAGGTGAGGGTGGCACCTCTGTGGGAGGTGACAGAGCTGGGGGCGCTTCGTGGGAAGAAGGACAGTGGCAGGGTGCACCTGTTACACCTGGGGGAAGCTGCCTCCCACACTCACTGGTGTCTCTGGGCCCGGGAGGGACCTGGAGGAAGGCTGCGCTGTCCCGCCCGGCTGTGCCAACCCTGCCTCTTGCTCGTGTGTGTTGTCTCCTGAAGGGTCTAGGGCGGGCACCTACTCACACCGGCCCCCGTCTCCTGCCCTGGCGGGCCAGCCTTCCAGGGGAGCTCACAGGATACAGGTGGAGTGTGTTTATGTGCATGTGCGTGTGCTGACAGCACTCCTGGGTGCAGACGCATGCCTGTGTGTGTGTGCACAGACAGCGTGTGCGCGTACGAACAGTGAGTGGCAACTGGTGTGAGCAGGCAGTGGGGGTGTGTGGGAATGTGCGTGTGTGCATGGACCATGTGCCTGCACGTGGCATGTGTGTGCAGGCTTGAGTGGTCCACACAAAGGCAGGGGGGCAGGAGGCACCCTGAGCCTCTTACGGGCGAACAGGAAAGGTCAGACTCTGCTCTCTGCCCTCCCCTCCCCCTCCCTCACTCCCTCCCCCTCCCTCACTCCCTCCCCCTCCCTCACTCCCTCCCCCTCGCCCTCCTCAGCATCATCACCATTTGTTGAGTGTTCATTGTGTGCCCAACAGAGCAGACCTGCAGGGACCATTGCTTTTTTTTAAAAAATGTTTTTATTCATTTTTTGGTTTTTTTTAGAGAGAGAGAGGACGGGAGAGGGATGGAGACATAGAAACATTGATGAGAGAGGAACATCATCGATCAGCTGCCTCTTGCATGGCCCCCACTGGGGATGGAGCCCGCAAACTGGGCATGTGCCCAGACCGGGAATCGAACTGGTGACCTCCTGGTTCCTGGGCTGACGCTCAATCACCGAGCCGCCCAGCAGTGGAACCACTTCTTGAACAGCTGAGCGGATGAAGGCAGGAGCGCGCAGCCATGAGACTGACCCCGTTTGCAGGTGGAAGTCTGGGCACTGGCGCAGTTTAGTGACAGAATCACAGGACCCAGCCCTGGCACGGGGGGGGGGGGGGGGGGCAAGGCGAAGGTGCGGGGCGCCACCCAGGGTCCCCACTCAGTTCCGGGAGCCTGGGACCCCGTCATCTCCCCGTCGGGGTTTCCCCTCTGAGCGGCTCGGGTTGGGGGCCGCGTCACGCGCCAGTGGTTCGTCAGCACAGAGCAACTGGCTAATTATTTCCAAAAATATTGACTCGTCACGGAGAGAAAGCTCTTCTCCATGCCGCCCGTCCGCAGAAAATTGCCTTTGGTATTAACATTTCATCAGCCACATAATGCGAATGGATGTAAATGCATAATTAGAAATAATAGCCTGGGAAAACTCACTTATTTGTAAAATTGGGCTTGTTACATTACAACCGGAGCTAACGGCGTGCCTCTCTCTCCTTCGACAGGCCCGAGGCTGGGCCTGCCTGCTTTGTGGGGTGCCCGGCTGCCTCCGCCGCTCTGTGGGGGGACCCTGGAGAGGGGATGCCCTCTGAGGAGGCGTGGGCTCACCTGTCCCAAAGGGGCTCTCTCGGTCCATGAACAGGCCGCTCAGAGACCTCCTCATAAACATGTCACAGATGACAGTCCCTGAGGACAGGAGTCCGGTGACAGCTTCCTCAGCCCTCGGTCTTTCTGTGTGTGTGTGTGTGTGTGTGTGTGTGTGTGTGTGTGTGTGTGTGTGGCGGGGGGGTACAGTCTGCCTGATCCGGGGATGTGGTGGGAAGACACCGTGAGTGCAGGTGCCTGGGGCCGGGGCTGCCCTACGAATGCTGAGTTTGCAGAGGGTCGTGAGAGCAGAAGCCTCGTCAATGTCATTGTCATTGCCAGCGTTTATGTCACTCACCAGCCAGGGGTGCGGACATGGCGAAGGAAGGTCTCTGAGTTCTGGGGCCTCACCATCTAGGGCGGGGGTGGGGGACCTTATCCTGCCAGGGCCAGGTGTTGTAATATCATTCGCAGGCCACCCCGTTATCAACTGCAAGGTCACAGACTCCCCAGCCCCAGGCCAGGCCCCGCCTCCCACGCTCCCACTGAGGCTCAGCGTTCTGCCTGCTACCCTGGCAGAGTCCCAGCAGTGTCTGCCCAGGTCTTTTTTTTTTGGTAATATATATATATATATATATATATACTATTTTTTTAATATATTTTATTGATTTTTTACAGAGAGGACGGGAGAGAGAGAGTTAGAAACATCGATGAGAGAGAATCATTGATCAGCTGCCTCCTGCACATCTCCTACTGGGGATGTGCCCGCAACCCAGGTACATGCCCTTGACCGGAATCGAACCTGGGACCCTTCAGTCCGCAGGCCGACGCTCTATCCACTGAGCCAAACCGGTTTCGGCCTATTTTTTATACTTTTAAAAAAATATATCTTTTATTGCTTTTTTAAAGAGAGAGGAAGGGAGAGGGATAGAGAGATAGAAACATCTACAAGAGAGAAACATCATCGTTCGGCTGCCTCCCGCATGCCTCCTACAGGGGATCGGCCTGCAAGCTGGGCGTGTGCCCTGACTGGGAATCGAACCCTTGGCCTCTTGGTTCCTGGCTCAGTGCTCAACTGCTAAGCTACACCAGCTGGGCCAGGTCTTTTTTATTTTTAATATGTATATTTTTTATTGATTTCAGAGAGGAAGGGAGAGGGAGAGAGAAACATCAGTGATGAGAGAGAATCAGGGATCGGCTGCCTCCTGCACGCCCCCTACCGGGGATCGAGCCCACAACCCAGGCCTGTGCCCTGACCAGGAATTGAGCCGTGACCTCCTGGTTCAGGGGTGGATGCACAACCACTGAGCCACGCCGGCTGGGCCTGCTTTGGATATTTTTAATCTGTTTTCAGGGGGGCTCTGAGGCCCTCATATTCTGTGATGATGCATTTGGGCTCCGGGAGCGGAATCTATCTCAGCCCCACCTTCCGTGCCTCCTCTTGGGGGACCACACTTGGGGTTGCTGCCCACACTGCTCCCTGGGCCCTGCTAGCCGACCTACGGGCAGACACGGTCCCATCGCTGGGCTGCTCCTGCCCCTCTTCCTCGGGTCCCAGCTTTCTAAGAAACAGCCCTTGAAAGGATCACAGGGGCAGTTCTCCAGCTGCCTCCTGAGTGAAGCCCGAGCCACAGGGGGGATGGGCTGCCCAGGGTCCCACAGGGCTTGCCTGCTGGGGGCTTGCTCAGCACCCCCCGCCGCCTTCCCTGCTGGCCCACCTCGCCCTCCAGGGCCCGGGGAACTGAGGAGGGATGCTCACAGCCCAGCCTGGGCCTCCCCTGCCTCCCCCTCCGCTCCTTCCCCAGGGACACAGGTCCCCTTTTCTCGGGGGGTAGGAAGCTGACTGCTTGTCTCCAGGAACAGCTGGGCCTTGTCCCCTCAGCTGTGCGGGCGCCTGGGAGGCTGGACAATCCCGGCTGTGTGCTGGGGAACCAGGGGCCAAAGGAAGCAGCTCGGCTGTGGCCCAAGAGCTGGGGGAGGGAGGAGGGTGATGAGGCTGGGGGCGGGGCCTCTGCTTTCTGTCACAGCCCAGCGGCAGACTGGGCCTGTGCTCTCGGGGTACCCCCTAGGCTCTGGAAGGGGTGCCGAATGGAGGCTGCAAGGAAGTGCCTGCAGGTCCTCTCTCACATGCCTCCTTCTCCCCAGGGGGTGTGAGCTGTGGTTCCCCCACCCCCACCTCGGCAGCCTCCCCAAGCTCAGACTCCTGTGGGGCAGGCTCCAGTCGGGGCCTTCTGGTGGCAGTTATTGGGCTCCTACACCATCACCTGGGGGGCTGGGCACTGGCACAGCCAGGCCAGTCTCTGCTCCCTCTGCCTGGGAGAAGGGCTGGGCAAAGGCCCTGGGGAGACTGGGCAGGGCTCCCGGAGGACGGGCATGCTGTGGGCGTGCTGCTGCAGGAGTAGCCGAGGCACGGGGCACACAGGACACTCGGTTGCTTCTCAGGCCCGAGGGGAAGCCACCATGGGCGTCATCACTAGACTCAGTTGTCCTGTCTGGACTTGGGCCAGCAGGCCCCTGCTACCAGGTCCAAAAGCTGGAGAGGAGTCGTGACGATGCGCCCTGCTGTCCGTGGCCCCTGGAGCAGGATGGGGCCTAGAGTGGGAGGTGGGTTTTGGGTGTTTAACCTCATCGACATTCCGGGAGGAGAGCAGTTGCTCTGCGAGGTGGTGAGCTGCCCATCCCTGGCAGAGCCCAAGGGCAGCTTAGCTCGGAGTCAATCTGGTGGGAGAGCTGACCGTCAGAGCAGAGGGGTCTTGGGGGACAAGGGGGTGGGGCTGGCAACACCGGGTCTCCCTTGGTGGTCTCTGTGCAGCGTGAGTGTGGAAGGACATCTGTCCTGGAGAAAGGGGCATGCCCCTCAGACCCGGGTCTTGGGGTGCTGGCTCGGGGCAGCGTCGGCCGCAAGCTCTGGCGGGAATGCGCCTGGTGCTTGGTATACTTTACAGCCTCGGTGACTTCATTCCGGCCCGTCGGGAAGGGAAGGGAAGATTTCTTGATTTGCAAAGATGAAATGAGGAACAGATGTCTTTTCGAGCTATTAATAGGCGGTCGGGGGAACAATGAGCCTTATTTTGAAAGGAGCCTCAGCCTGCGGCGGCCGTGTCCATTTGAATGTTCCGTGTTTGAGCGTGTCCTGTGCTTGGCGGTGGAGCGTCATTGGCAGTCAGTGGCTGAGTCCCTCGGATGTAGTATCCAGGCCCTGAGACGCAGGGTCTAAATCAGCGGTTCCCAGCCTTTTTTGACCACGCCCCACCTAATCCTCTCTACCATCCTGGTGCCCCCTGTGACATGGAATTCTTATTTTTCACAAAGTGAACTCTGTTCACATGGAGGAAGCCTAAAAGGCCATGAACTTGGTCTAAACAAGCTTCCAAGGAACATGAAAGAGAAAAATGAAAGAACAAAAGGACAGTGAAAGTTCTGAGGAAGAAATCACTAAGAAATTGTTAAAAAATAATAATATGAAGTGATAGGAAAAAATAGCAAATAAAGTTTCAAAACATAATAGAGAACTGAAATGCATACCTGTGTCACAATATATATTTATATGCTGCATTTGAGGCCCCTAGAACCATAAGAAATGCAAAATTCACTGTTAATAACTCATTCTCGGATTGCCCCCTTAAACATCAAATTGCCCCCCTGTGGGCGTGTGCCCCACGCTGGGAACCCCTGGTCTAAATGTAAGCCCTCCCCCCAAACCTCCCGGCAAGGGCCCCAGAGCACGCCAGGCTTCTGAGACACGGGAACAGCCAGAGTGACGTGCAGAGACGGGGCCGTGGGAGGCACCCGGTGTGCACAGCCCTGCCGGGCAGTCGGTTCTTCCGTGTGGAAGTCTGGGCTTGTGCTTTTGGGCAAATGCATCCCAACCGCCCGGGCAGCTCCTAGCAGCGCTGTGCACAGGCCCTTTGCTGAAAGTGGAGTGTCCATCACCCCGTGTATGTGTGTGCGCTTCGATCTCGATCTCAGTTTAAATTAACCCCACTCAGCTCATTACCAGTAAAACTGAGGCGGGAAGCGGCTTTCCTGTAGGAAAAAGACCCAGCATCTGTGGCCATGCCTTCTCCTGGAGAAAGTTCATTCCTCTGCCTGCCTGATCACCCCCTAGCCACTCCCCTGCCAGTCTGATCAAAGCCTAACTGCTCCCCTGCTGGCCTGGCTGCCCCTAATTGCCCTCCCTTGCAGGCCTGGTTCCCCCCAGCTGCTGTCCCCTGCTGGCCATCTTGTGTGTTGGAGTAATGGTCAATTTGCATATTACCTCTTTATTAGATAGGATAATGATCTGTTGTCAGTTTGTTACTCTTACAATGTTTTGTCAGATTTGGAATCAAGGCAATATGGGCATCATAAAATGAGTGGGAAAGTATTAATTTCTTTTATATTCTGGAATAGGGTTATCATTTCTCCCTTAAGTGTTTGCACAGCATATAGTCCCCCCCTCCCCCCAACACTCAACTCCAAACTAACAATCTCTGTCTTTTACTTGGTATGTCTAGATCATTTACATTTAATAAAATTATTAACATGTTTGGATTTGGGCCTAGCATTTTATTGTTTGTTTTCTGTGTGTTCTGTCTACTTTTTGTTCCTCTCTTCTTCTTTTCCTGCCTGCTTGTGTATTCTTTGGAGTTTTGGGGTATGTTTCACTTTAATTAATTTACGTAATCTTACTTTAGTGGTTGCTGTAGAATCAATAACCCTTCAGAGTCCTCAGGCAATGGCTTTTGTATTTCGTCCAGAATGTTTAGTTGTGATTGGTGGGAGAGAGAGGCTATCCGGGCTTAGTCAGTCTTGGTTGCTCACATGTTGTCTTTTCAAAAGGGCAGTGCGCTATCTTTTTTTATCTGTTTTTCTAGACATCTATCTGCTTTATCGTTCTTCTAAAATAACTGTGTTTTGTTGACTTGCGCATCTTTCTTATGCTGGTGTTTGTTTCCTCCCTGAGTGAGATTCTGCAGGGGCTCTGCTGGTGCCCTTACCAAGCGCCTTTGCCCCCCATTTGCCAGCTCAGCATGCCCAGCTCCCAGCTCCCGTGGCCTTTGCTGTTCAAGGTGTGCCCTTGACATGTTCCACTGACTCTACTGGGCACTGGAGCCGCCTGCTGGTGCGGAGAGCTGGGCATGCCCGGGGTGCACATGCCTCGCCCTCCAGCAGCTCCAGCCGTACCGACTGGTGTGCGAGAGCGGGTCCCACTCCTCTGCCCAAGACGGAACAGACTTCCCCCCTCACGGTGTCCCCACCTCCTGGCTGGAGTCTTCTGGGCGTCCTTCCTCACCAGACGCATTCCAGTCCTGACCGCAGGTAGTTTTCTACCTTTTACCTTTTTTCTTAGTCTTCTTTTCAAGACGTATGACTAACTCATTTATTTTCACCATCA